TCAGGAGTCATTCTTGGTACCGATGAGATCTAAGGTCCCTGAACAAGCTGGTCCGAGTTATCCGATAGCACAACTTTACGGTGGAGAGTCCTACATCGCTGTACTTCAAGCCCAATACGTTTGCACCGATTGCGGAAAGAAATATAAATGGCAGGATAGCTTGAAGAGACATCAAAGGGTAGATTGTGGGAATAAAGAAAAGAAATTTGCTTGTAATGTGTGCGATAGGAAATTTAAATATCGTTACGAGCTTAAAAATCACATTACAGCTCATCATAGAACGTGAACTCTTCTCTCTCTCTCTCTCTCTCTCTCTCTCTCTCTCTCTCTCTCTCTCTATCTATCTATCTATCTATCTATCTATCTATCTCTCTATTTCTTTCTTTCTCTATCTGTGTCTATCTCTCGATCTCTTTTTATTTTCTGTGAGATAACTCTTGTGATCTTGAACGTTGTGAATATTACATATTTTTTTTTTTTTGAAACTTGATGTTTCATTGTTCATTTTAATTTCATTACTCGTTAGTCTCGTTTAATTACGTTCGAAGGACTTTACGATCGGAGAGACAAAGGTGCTTATTAGATAATAACACAATGAGACACTATATGATGATATTAGTATAATATAATTGTGGTCAACATGCGCAGAATCGTCAGCGAATCGAATTCAATCAATTTTCGAGTTTACGTGATCCTAGCGACTAAATAATTATTGCAAAGGTATATACGCTCTTGTATTACCTTGAATTATCTAATTGGATCATCGTGGATTGGTCCGATATAATAATGCGCATGTAGCCTAAGAACTATAGTGCGATCGAGATAACTTTTGATAACACGATTTCACATTTGTCACGTCTATTATTTTATTATTGTCAACTTACAAATATGTTTCATCGGTGCACAATTATTCACGAATTAAATTGGATTTAATTAAAATAAAAAGAAAAAGGAAAAAAAAAAGAACAAAAGCAAAAACAAAAAAGAAATAAAAAAAAAAACGTAACTGTGATTCTCATTGATTTCTCGACAATGATGATGATGATGATGATGATGATGATGATGATGATGATGACGACGACGACGATGACGATGAAAAGAGGAGTAAAGCGTGCGAAAAAAATTGTCTCGTCTATTCAAAATCAGTTGTATCGTTTATTAATTAAATGCAAGCGCTAAAAAATGCCAACACGACCATTAGAAATAAATAAATAATAACAGCGATACACGAATTTCGGTAGGTACAATTTGTACAGAACACGAATCGAGATAAATATAGTTAAAAAGAAATGATATAAAAACAAAATTCGTGATTTCATTTGAATCCCATTCATTAATATTAATTAAGTATTTGAAAAGAAGCCAAGTAATATCCAAGATCGATCGTTAATAGTAATTAGTTGTTATTATTATTAACGTATCCCGTCCTTGGGACTCCCTCTACGTCACTATTGCCAAATAATCTATTTTTTCCCGTTTCCTTTCAAGAACAGTGTCGTAGATGAATCAAAAAAAAAAAGAAAAAAAAGAACAAAAATAAAAAGACCCAGGTACCACCCTCTAGCTCGTAATAAACAGAACAGTAGCTAAAACTTAATCTTTTTTTTAAATTTCAGAAACCTCTTCGACGAACCAGTCATCGGCCATGAATACCATTAAGGAATGCCTATCCGAAGGATCTTTAAAACGTACCTTGTTACCAAAATGTCGTTTGTTCGTCTGTAACAGATGTTCAAAGGCTTACAAATGGCGTAGTAGTTTGATGCGTCACCAAATGATAGAGTGCGGCAACAAAGAGAAGAAATTCCGTTGTTCTATATGCCCTAACAAGTATTATCATGATTATCAATTGGAGAAGCATACTCTGACAGTTCACAAGTTATCTAAGAAAAAAAAAGCCCGAGAACGTTACGACTACGTTTGCGAATTATGTGGGAACGATTATAAATGGGCTAGCAGCTTGTTACGTCACCGAAAGGAAGAATGCGGTAACAAAAGGAAAAAATTCAATTGTCATTTATGTTCAATGAAGTTTAGTTTTCGAAACAGATTGAAACAACATTATCAAGATTATCATGGATTATCTAAAGACGAGATGAAGAAGAGGATTGTGGCGATTAATTCGTCGTCAACAAGTAAAACGATATTTAAACACACACACAGTTGAAAATAATTGAAAGGCTAATTTCCTCATATATTCTTTTTTTCATCTTATCTTCCCACTCTTCTGTCCAGAAGATAAGATTTATATTATTTCGCATCAACGATCGAATTCAACTGCTAAAATGATTTTTCTATTAAACAATACGTTTCCATTTATTATTTTCCTCGTTTATTTTCTTTCTTTTTCTTTCTTCCTTTTTCTTTTTTAATTTTTTTCTTTTTTCTCTTGTCTTCCTTTTTTTCTTTCTTTCTCATTCTTTTCTCTCTTAATTTATACATTTAAATGATCATTACGAATTTTCTTATTAATAATATATAATAATTTATAATAATATATAATGAAAATAATATAAACGTATATAATTCTTACACATTAATTTTATATATTATGGATATATTATATAATATAATAAATAAACGATTTTTTTTTTTTTTAGGAAAAGACAATGTAAGTAACTCGACGAAAAATCTTATCCTTTCTCTTTCCCCGTTAAAACCTCACTTTCATCCCTCATCTCACCAAAAAACAAAAACAAAAAAAAAAAACAAAACAAAACAAAAACCAAACAAGCCAGAGAAAATCTCTCGAGGATCAATCTTTTGTACCCGTGATATATCATACCGCTTCTATTGGTGAATGGTTTATACGTGTACTACTATATAATTGTGCTGTGTGTTGCGTCCGTGCTTCAATGTTATTATACTGTTGTTGCCGATTAAAGAGAAAAAAATATAACAAAATAAAAAATAAATAACAAAATAAAAAACACAGAGAGAGAGAGAGAGAGAGAGAGAGAGAGAGAGAAAGGAGAAATATCGTTAAAAAAAAAAAAAACAGAGAGAAAGAAACAATAAACGCGTTTTTAAATAAAACAACAAAAATAAAAAGAAAAGTCAAAATAATGTAAATATATATATATATATATTCATATATATATATAAAAAAAAAAGAAAAAAAAAACAAAGAAACAGAAAAAATAATTTAAGTGAGCTTCGACGAGAGAAAGATCGGAAAGATTAATAATGATGATAAGTGTGTGTGTGTGTGTGGGTGTGTGTGTCTGTATGTGTATGTGCGTGCGTGTGTGAGAGAGAGAAAAATAGAGAGAAACAGATAGAGAATAAAACGACTGACAAATCTTCTGTCTTTTTTAGAACGGAAGTATTCGCCGAGTGCGGCCATCGATTGGTATTATCAATACCAAACCTTATACCTACGTCTGATGGCCGAGAATCAAATGGCCGAAAGTGTTAGCTGTACTGGAAACGCCTTACCTGATAAGGAACAACAAGCTACGAGTAGAAAACATCCGAAGGATTGCTCTAACAATTTGGAAAAAGTTGTACAAGAGTCATCCGTTAACCTGGATAATAATACTAATCTTCAAGGAAATTGCGGAAATGTTAATGTACGCAGTGGTGACTCAAGTGGTTACTCATGTTTACGTTGCGGAAACGCATACACAAGGCCACACTCATTGAACCGTCATATTAGATTCGAATGTGGTGTCGAGCCACAATTCGAATGTCCAATTTGTCACAAAAAGTCAAAACACAAGCACAATCTTTTGTTACACATGCGAACCCATCAGAAACCATGAGTACGAGTTACGATTCGTGCTTGATTCTTCTTTATTTCGATCTTTCTTTTCTCTTTTTCTTTTTTCCTCTTTTTTTTTTTCATTTCTATTTTGTCATCTTTTTTTGATCATCATTTATATATATATATATATATATATATATATATATATATTGAAAAATTGTTTTTCTTTCTTTATGATATATCATTATAATATGTCAAAGAGTCGAATAGGATTTGTCTCATGGAATCCTTGAAAATGAACTTGAAAATTATTCCTTATCAGTTAACAAGGTCTTCCAAAGAGTTAGACATGTAAGTTTCTTTGTTATCCCTTCTATTCTTCGTTATAATTATATATTGCAAGATAATATTTTTATTATATAGGATAGTTACTCTGCGAAAGAAGAAATTGTATTATTCCATTTTCCTTTCTTTATTATTATTTTTTTTTATCTTTTGTTTATTTTGTTTTTTTTTCTTTTTTTTTTTTAATTAGATATAATCATTATTATCTTTATATATATATATATATATTTACATATATATATATTTTTTTTTCTCGGGTGCTCGATCCTTTAAAGCATTTGTAGAAACATTATAAAAATTTTTATTATTATTATTATTATTATTATTATTATTATTATTATTATTATTATTATTATTGTTATTATTATTATTATTATTATTATTACTATTACTATTAATATTACCGGAAAACTATTCGTATTAATTCGTTATGAAAAAATTTCTTATTTTCTCCATCAATCAGTATCCTCAAATGATAAGCTTACGATCTCGAATATACGCAACGTTACCGAAAATAGACTGATTTACTGCCATTTAAAAAAAAAAAAAAGAAAAAGAAACTGCATTATCAGTACGAAAATTCTACATTTCTTTTCTTTTTGTCTGTATTTTTTCTTATTTTATTTTTTTCTCTTATTCTTTTTTCTTTTAAATAATACATAAATATTATATATTAATCATCTGTATCCCTAAAGAGAGTATCCAAATTTGGTATATACCATATACTAATGATATATATGTCACATATATTATTCTGACACGCTTAAAAGTATATATATGTATATATATATGTATATATATAAATATATATATATATATACATATGTATATATAAACAAAATTTTGATTTTTGTTAATATATTATCAGGCGGAGAAAATTCTTAAATAAATATAAATAATTTAATTAATTATAAGTGCCAGTCGCGCTACTTAAAGACTAAGACATATA